CGGCCTCCTGCGGCGGGGATTCCCTTCCCGGGCGCAGGGGCGGGGCCGGGACGCCCCTGACGCGGCCGCGGGGTGTTCCCCGCCCGGTGTCGTTCAGCGCGGCAGGTTGCCCCCGACTCGAACCGCAGCCATGGGAAACACCACCAGCGAGAGGGTGTCCGGGGAGCGCCACGGTGCCAAGGCTGCGCGAGCCGAGGGCGGCGGCCATGGCCCGGGCAAGGAGCACAAGATCATGGTGGGGAGCACCGACGACCCCAGCGTCTTCAGCCTGCCCGACTCCAAGGTGAGGTAACCGGCTGTCGGCTGCTTCGCTCTTCTTGGTTCTCACTCCCTGGGGTTACCGGTGTCTTAATTAGAGGGCTTTCCCGCGGACAGAGATGTGGAGTGCTAATGCCTCCTAGGTACTACCTCCAATTAGGATGGAAGCGCGGAGTTTCCTGCTGTTCTGATTGATCTGTGGGCCAGGCTTTTAGGACGGGTACCAGAGACGCGTCCCCTACTCGCCCCATCCTTGGGTCTACGTGAAATTGCCTTCTTGTAGAGCTTGCAGGATGTATAGGTTGTGAGCGAAACTTAAGATAGTGCGTTGTGTGAGCTGCTGATTCAGGCACCGTTTCTCACGTTGACCTCAAGATAGCTAAACGAATTTCTTTTCCCTGAAAATGTCTTTGTGTAGATATCGTTCTTAATTTCTCAGGTGCACTGCACCCCCTCGTTTGATCGTAGTCCCCCTTTGCGTGGCTCGCAGCAGCCATCACTTGGCTGTCTGAATACAGTCGCCTAGTCTTGGGGATCAATACAGGGCATCCTTTGATTAACGGTTCAGTGTTTTAGAAACGTGACGACTGTAACTGTGCTTTTTGCACACCTGACTGCGCTTTGCGGGAGAGCAAGTTACTTCCCTTCGCTCCCCTGTAGCACTTCAAGATGTTACCTGAGGCTCAAAGCCATCAACAACTGCCCGGAGGACTTTCAGCCAAAGGCCCACTCTCGTTCACCCAAAAGAAGAGGCAGATGGAGCTGACAGCAGTGTGATTGCTACCCTAACGTTCCTAATCTCTTCTCGAAATGTCAGCATTAAATACATTTAATTTCTCCAAGTGGGCTGTCTAGAGTGAAAAAGAAAGCCCGGAGGGTTGGAGAGGATTGGGATGTATTTGACATTTATCATTGTTTCCATCTCCACTGAGCAGAGACTTAGGTAGTGAATAGAGTTATATTTACCACGTTGACAGCACATGAAATTTGGATTTTACGCCTGATTTTCTTGGATCCTGATTGAGAACACCGTTAGGAAGTGAGAGGTATTGAGCTAGGCCTTTCTTGGGGTTCTCCCTTTGTTCCCTCTTTCCTCTCCAGCCTTAGGACTTCTTCCTCATCGTTTGGGCTCTGCGCTCAGCCTGGATTTTCTTCTCCAAAGCTTATCCAGGGTGACAGGCCGAGTATTTTTGCTCATTCCTACATTGATGACTCAGGCTTTGGGTACATTCAAACTGTGACTGCAGTAATTGGTGCCCTGAATAAGAGCCAGATTGCTCTATGTGAGTTTGGGCCTGTTTTGGAACGTTTTTCCCTAACACCTTGCCATTTGTAAAATGAGAAAAGTAGTTCCAGCAATTCCCCATCTCATCCAGATGGAAAAACTTGAGAGTTCATGTGCCCTCCCCACCAATCTCCCTTCATCATCTACAGGCCGTATTTTGAATTGCGGGTGTGCTGCTGTTCCTGGTAGTTTTGCTGGTGGCTCAACTCAGTAAACAGTGTTTCTGCTAGTCAGCTGCAGTCGCTCCTAGCACTGAAATGTCATGTCATAAGTGGAAGGGCTGTGCTCCAAAGCCAGGCGTATTAATAGTGTAGAGCTTTCAAATCCTGAACTGAAAATCCTCAGTCCTAAAAGTAATTGATAGAAACAGTAGGGGGAGGGGAGGACATCTTTGCTTCAAAGGTCAGGCTTTTTAGTAGACTCAGGGGTTCTTGGTCCTGTTTGTACATTAGGATTCTCCAAGATTGGCTTAAAAACAAACCTTGTGGGAAATCTGACACATTCATAAAATAAACTGTGTGTCTGTCACCCGGTTTAAGTGGCAGTGAAAGTGAATGAGTGTTTTCTGTCCTCCAAGCCATCCTCCAACAGCTACTCTGAAACATGTCAATAAATAACATTTTTAACATTTTAGGGTACCGCATTTCTAACATTTTAGGGTGTACCTCAAAAGGCAACTTTAAAGCTGATACGATAGTGGCTCAGGCCTGTAATTGCAGCTGTTCAGAGGCTGAGGCAGGAGGATCACTGCCAGTCTAGACTAGAGTGAGAATTTGACCTCCTAGGAAACAAAACAAAATACGTTTTCGTTTATTGTAACATAATTAATTACAGTATAAGTTACCTGAAAGCTTTAAAAATATGTTCTCAGATCCTACTTGCGAATCAGATCTGAGGGTTGTTCTTGTATAAACACTCATATGTAAACACTCCCGATGAGGCTGTGCCCCCCCCCATGTGGTGCTTTGTGACAGTGGAGTCCAAAGGTTTGTCTTAACCCAATCTCCTGAATAATGTAAAAGCCTCTTCACTCTCTTTCTCCATTTACTCTGATGTGTACTTGTATAGTAGTTTTAAGGACTATTGGGAGACAGAATGGAAGGTAAACATTTTCATTTTGGAAAAAGCAGGGGAAAGCCCAAATGAATAAGCTAGTCCTTTCTTACTCTAACCTTCATTGCTTTGTTTGTAATCTTGGCTTGGTGCCATACAGCCTTGTTCCAACTGAAAGTCTGTAAAAGACCACATAATAAATAATTTAGACTCTGGGTCACACATAGAGTCTGTGGTCATAACTGTCCAGGTCTACCACCACCACCGACCCAGAACGCTATAGAAGGTACACAAACAAATGAGTGGCTGTTTCCAGACAAAGCTTTGTAAAAAGCCATCTGCTCACTGGCTGCAGTTTCCCACACTTGTCCCGAAGGATGGTAGTGGAGAAAAACTAAAGAATTCATTTTCCTCAAAATCCTATAAACCTCGTTTAGTAATGGGTCTGCTTTCGCTCAAGGAAGATAATTTTGGTCCTGTGCCCCAGAGATCCAGAATGTTAGCCATTCTGGGGTAATTATATGAACCTGGCTGTAATTAGCAAGGAAGGTTTCATAGCCATTTCAACTGGACCAAATCAGTGGTCTGACTTTGGAATCAGTGTCAATTGATGATTGATGATGGTGCTAGAGATGAAACCCCCAGTTTCCGTGCTCTACACAGAACTACATGTTCACCCTTAAGTATTTACATTTTACTTATTTATATTTTATGTATATATTGGTCTGTGTGAGGATGTCGAATCCCCTGGAACTGGGTTTGTAGACAGTTGTGAGCTGCCATGTGGGTGCTGGGGGTTGAACCTGGGTCCTCTGGAAAAGCAGCCAGTGCTCTTAACTACTGAGCCATCTGTCCAGCACCTCCTTAAATATTTAATGTTCCATTGTATAACCTAGTAGCTTAAATAGCATTGTTAATTGCTTACGAATTTTGGTATCTGTAACTTTAATTGCAGTTGACAGTCGAGACCAGTTTGCCTCTGAAAAACATATGCCTGGCTTAATTTTCTTTTAAAGAATCATACTTGACTTTCTTATATTTTTTTTTCTCTTAAGAGGCTCTCAGAAGCATATTCTATTGCCTGCACACCAGTTAGACTGGAGGAAGGGTTTGAAGGTTGTCTGTTTGTTTGAAGGGTAACCCAGAGGCACTGCAAAGAGAATGATGTACACATACCAGGCAGTGGACTGTGATTTAGGCAATGCTGGAACATAAACTATTTGACCATTTCGGACCCTGTATTAGTTCTTTTCTGTAGTTTGTTCAAACTCTGATTTAACTGAATTTAGGGTAGCTATCTTTAGTTGAAGCCTAGAACTTTTAATACTCTTGGGAAACTTACCTCTTAAAAACCCCTGGGTCATAATTTATTCTAGGGATGACCTACTCCTTCTTACAGCTCCCTGGGGACAAAGAGTTTGTACCCTGGCAGCAGGACTTGGATGATTCTGTGAAGCCCACCCAGCAGGCCCGGCCCACCGTTATCCGCTGGTCTGAAGGAGGCAAGGAGGTCTTCATCTCTGGGTCTTTCAACAACTGGAGCACTAAGATTCCACTGATTAAGAGGTGAGGGCACATGTCTCCATTGAGTCTACAGAATGCAGGAACAGATACCTGATTGCCTTTCTTAGGGAATGGACTAGGACTCAGAGGGGTGGGTTCTAACAGCATTGTGGGTACGTTCTTCAGGACTGTGCTTCTCAAGTCATTTCTTGTCCGGAGGCGGTCTGACCTTGCTAATTCCTATTGCTTTGATTTCTGTATTAAAGCAAAATACATTGTGACATTCTAAGTGTAATGCCAGTTCACTGCTGGCAAAGCAAGTGAATGATTTATGTGGTTGTCAGAGTGACCTTTGTGCAGTAGGTCATTTTCCAGAAAAGGCTCCCCAAAATATGGAAAGAGTACCCTGAAATATTATTCTGTTTTTCATGTATAATGTGTGTGTATACATGTACATACATGTAAATGCAGTCATGTGTGCCCATGTGTACATGTGGAGGCCACAGCAAGACCTGAATACCTTCCTCTGTGGCTGTCAGCCTTGTTATCTTGAGACAAGCTCACTGAACTAGAATTTCTCCATGTCAGCTAGCTGTACTGGCCAGCAGTTCTCTCCAGGTCTGCTTGTCTCTGCTCCCCAGTGCTGGAGATTGAGGCATCTGTAGTCATGCCCAACTTCTGATGTGGATACTAAGGATTCAAACTTAGGTCCTCAAACTCACAAGGAACACTCTTCCTGGCTAAGCCCATCTCCCCAGCCCCGAGAAATCTTTTCTGCTGGAACAAAGCAGTTTACTAAGATAAAGCACCCCCCTCTTCTCCCCCACAGGGATCGGTTAAGAATGAAGTCATTGGGAGAGGTTGACAAGGACCTGTTCTGAGTGATAAAGAAAAAGAGGGTGCATTTATACTTTGCATGGGGGCGGGGTGGGCACAAGGGCTGTGGTAGCTTAGGAATGTAGAAGGTCATTGGGTGGTGCCATCATTGCCCCTTTCTCCATTCCGTCTTCTTTAAGGAACTTGAACTGTTTGACCTTCTGTTCTCTTCCCTAGTCATAATGACTTTGTTGCCATCCTGGATCTTCCAGAGGGAGAACACCAGTACAAATTCTTTGTGGATGGACAGTGGGTTCATGATCCATCAGAGGTAAGGCCTTGGTTTGCAGGGGAGCCTCAGTGGCCTCATTGTGACTTACCACCCACTGGTTCAGTAGGCAGCTCCCTACTAAAGACTTTTTATAAAAGTAGAGGGGAGGTTGGATGAAGAAGATGGATCTGAAAAGGGAATCCAATCATTTTGTTATTATTCACTGTTCCAGCCTGTGGTTACCAGTCAGCTTGGCACAATTAATAATTTGATCCATGTCAAGAAATCTGATTTTGAAGTATTCGATGCTTTGAAGTTGGACTCCATGGAGAGCTCTGAGACGTCCTGCCGAGGTAATTCTGGACCAGTGCTGTCTCTCGCCATGTCTTTCTGATAGCGCATATTCCTTCCCCAAGGTGGTTTCTTGTTTCATTTGTATTTTCACTTAGGAATCTCATAATCACACCCCACACACCCCACTCCAACACAAATCCCATGGTATGTCTGCTTTCTTACTTTGATACACTGTTTTCCATTCTACCTTTATATAACCCACCAGTACCCTGTGGTTTCAAAAGCTGTTTCCAGTAAGATTTCATAATTTCCATTAGCATCTAGTGATATTATCTGTAAAGACTGGAAGCATCTGGTTTGTCTTTCTAACCTGAATCAGCTAGTTTGAGAGCTCACCTGACAATTATGGTTTTATGAGAGCCTTCAAGTATAATTGTCGCTGAGGGGGAGAGAGAGAAAAGAGAAAGAAAACAAAGCAGTGGTTGTTCTTCATGGAATTGAGTCTGCAGAGTGAAAGTCCCGTGTATTTTTGCTTTGTGTAATACCCTTTCCCTAGGTCTTTGTCTGTGCTTGTTCTCTCTAGCAGCAGAGGCGTGGTTTATAAACCATTTCGTAGCTGCTGTCTCATTACTGTATGGGAGTTGTGCCTGCCTGGAGAACTGTACCCTTCTCCACTGAGCATGCAAAGCCTGCCTCTGCTGCTTGTCATGTCGTGCAGCCAACGCCAGTAGTAAAATCCAGGGCTCAGACCCTCGGCGATCCTCAGTTACAGTGCCTAAAGTAAAGCACACAGCAGGATCTTGTGGTCGAGGGACAAGTAGCCCATAGCATAGTAACTATCAACTGAGAAAAAAATTTCAGTATATAAACTCAGAAAGTTATGGTGAGCATTCTTATTGGCTTGAAGGGGTGGTGATCTTAAAACTTCTGAGGCCACTAAAACTGTGATTATATTATGATCTGCAAAGTAACCACAGAGTATTTGGCAGTCAATCATAATTATGTCGTGAGAAGACTAGCACACTTTTGGGTTCACCCCATTTCCTCATCCAGCCTGTAAGGCAGAGAGTCCATTTATTAGAAATATGCAGATAATGGGTGTGGCCATATGCGTGACTTTCTAATGACCAGCTTAGATGTTTTAGTACAATGGACAGCACATGGAAATTGCCCTGTGTTATTTCCCAGTGGCGTTCTGTGGATAATGTGACCACAACAACTGGCAGTGTGTTGAGACGTTTCCTGGTCTGTGTATTTGAGGTTTTGTTTAATACAACATTGTTGCCTCTTCTTTCTGTTTGCCTTATATGTTGAAGCAAATCTGAGTTATTAAAATAGACTTATTAAAATCTTTTCTGGAGAGCTGTAAAATTTAAAAATTTAAAAATAAGAAAACATAATTCATTTAATTTTTGTAGGTTTAGCGTAAATACTTTTCATTTTTTAAGTAGAATTCTGATACCATAAAACACATTGAATTGTACAATTTATCCATTTTTTTTAGTATATTGAGTTTTAAAACCACTGTCACCTCCAAAGAAAGACTTTTCCCATCTTTTTCTCCTCACTGCCCTATGTCAGTCACAAAACTGCCATATGCAATTGCCTGTTCTGGACAGTTCATATAAACGTAACCATATACCACGTTGCTTCTTTCACTTAGCGGGCTTCCAGGGCTTTGGTGGCTGTTGAAACATGTATCAGTACTTTGCTTCTGTTTATAGCTGAATAGAAGTCTACGGTATGATAATTCCTTTTTAATTATCCATCCATTGTTGACAGACATTTGGAATTTGTTCCTCTTGGGAGCTCTTTTTAATATTGCTTCTAACACTCATGGTCAGGTTTTTGTGCGGGCTTGTGTTTTATCTTAGGTGGTAACACTCAGTACAGGGTCACAAAGTTTAACAGTTTGAGCGTGACCGTACTGTTTTTCAGAGTGGCTCTGCTAGTATTCATTTCTGCTAATGATGGAAATACTGTAGTTTGAAGCTTCGAGTTTCTCCACGTTTTTGCCAGTGCTTTCCATTTCAGTGGCAGCCGTCCCCCTGAGTGTAAGGTGGTATTTTGGTGTGACTTACTGCAGCAATGTCCTGTCTGCTGTAATCATTGTAGACTTAGAGTATATAACATTTCAGTGGCAGCCGTCCCACTGAGTGTGAAGTGGTATTTTATTGTGACTTACAATGTTTTGTTCTGTCCACTGTAATCATTGTAGACTTAGAGTGTATAACATTGTCTGTTGCTTTGGTAGAAACAAGATGAAATCCAATCTTTTCACATTGAGTTCACAGAACACCTTCATAGCCACTATCACTTTGATTTCCTCAAAAGCATTATGAATTAGGAAGATTTTTATCTTATGGATGAGGAAACTGACCCTAGTAAAGGGATCTGTCCGCGGTCATGTGTCTGACGAATAGAGCTGGTTTCCTGGAGCCTAGGTCCTGACCTCATCACTTCCTCACATTATGGTGCATGTTGGGAAGCTTCCCGGGCCATGATCAGGACGACTCAGACATCTCCTCTGCTTCCTTACAGTTACTGGCCCAATAGGTCACAAATCCTTATGCTCCTGGACTTGTGCTGCATTTAAGACTAATGTATGCATTAATAGCTTTCTCCATGCATCGTTACTAACCTTCAACTTTCCTTCACGTTTGCATAAATATTTTCCAGACCTGTCCAGCTCACCCCCAGGACCTTATGGTCAAGAAATGTATGTGTTCCGATCTGAAGAGAGATTCAAGTCCCCACCCATCCTGCCCCCTCACCTACTCCAAGTTATTCTTAACAAGGACACTAATATTTCAGTGAGTATCCTGAACAGGTTGCTAGAGTATCTGGGGATCTCTAGGACATGGAGGCCAAACTTCAGTAGCCTTGGGGCTGGAATTCTGACACAGATGTGACAAGGCCGTAAGCTGTGTGCATGTCGAGAGCACTGTGGAATCCTCTTTCCAGGACTAAACTGGGACTTCTGTAGGTACCAGTAGCAGAATTTGTAGTTGTTTCTGTTTCTAGTAAAGTCAGAACCAAACTGTGCTGGAACCAAGTCTGCTATGACATCTGACCCAACACAAGATAAGGATACTTTCATTAGGGGATATACAAAAATTCACAGCGTTTTATGTAAATAATTTTATCTCTGTTTTACTGTTGATAGTTGATTCCCAGGAAAATTATTTCTACCCTTTCATCCAAACCATCTGTATTTATTAGCAAGGTTTTTATTTTGATTCTATAAAGGAAAATTAACAGATGTTGGGGCTTAGCATTTCACCCTTACCCTTAGACTAAGGATTTTTCCAGATTTTATGACCTGGGGATGCATGATTCAGAGGAGACAAAGTGTACCTATTTAGAATCCTTACCAGTCCAGAGGAACAGTAAGCCATTTGTTTTGTCTGCATTTAATCACATTTGCGGGGGCTGGGGGGGTTGTTTTTTTCTCCTAGTGTGACCCGGCCTTACTTCCTGAGCCCAACCATGTTATGCTAAACCATCTCTATGCGCTGTCCATTAAGGTGAGTGGTGGCCCTGGTGTTCCACAGCCTCCTGACTGGAAGGGTAAGAGTCAGGCATGCTCTCCAGTGGAAGCTTGCTTGCCAGTTGGAACTAACAGTCAAATGATAGAAGAGCTGTCTTTTTCTTCCCTCGCAGGCTATTGGATTTTAAACCCCAGTCTCTGCCTGTGTTTAGGCTAACTGAACTGTCAGTGATGGGGACCTTCTGCTTCCCAGTGTCTGTGAGTGGCTGGACCCTTAGTACCATCCATTTACTTAAGCTTGAGTTCATACTAGTTGGATTCTACGTGCTGAAAATCAGGTTTAACTTCCTTCAAAAAATGCCTGAACAAGACAGTAAAACTTGTTAAAATGTGGACTCGAGCTGCGTTGAGATGTCCTACTTGTGTGTCCCCAGGCATTTCCATCCCTTTACAGTAGGTAGGCAGGCAGTGTGACCAGATGTGCTGTGTCCTTCTCACCCCTGCCCTAGAGTTCTTAGTTTCTCTGTTGTCTTAATGTCTTTGTGGCTTGACCATTAGCATAAAGTATGTAGTTGTGTGGCTGGCTAAGCTGACCTCGTGGGAACTGCTTGGAGAAGTTGGTGAACGTCAGATTGAGAAGTCTCCTCCCAGATATTCTAAGTAAGTGTACCTAGGGTGACTCCCAGCAGTTTCTCTGGAAGCTGCTTAGATTTCTTAGATGTGCAGTGAGAACAGGGAGGTCACTGATAGAGCTGACTTTAATAGATTATGTAGGTGTATATAAAATTTTAATATACTGGATTGCATTTTCCTAGTAACCTGGAGAGGTAAGTATTATTTTTAACCCCTGTTTTATAGATAAAGAAACTAAGGCTCAGAGAAGGTCAGATTGCCAGTAAGTATAAGAGGACTGAGTTCTATCCTGATAACCTCACCCCTGCTCTTTCCTGCCAGTCACCACGCAGGTCTTCTCACGGGTGCTTCTCTTTCACCTGCCCCACATCTGCAGCTCTGTGGAGCGGAGTTTACCTGCCGGTGTCTCGGCACAGTCCAGACAGAGTGTCATTCTGGGACACGGGCTTTGTGGGTCATCCAGGGCAAAGGAAGACAGCAAACTGCTATCTTCTCTGTGTTGGACTTTTGGGGTTCTTTGAGATCTGGTTGAGTCTTGTCTGCTGTGACTGCTCTGTGACTGTCAGTTGGTGTCCCTTGTCACCTCTTCTATGGTGCACCCATGCTCTCTCATACATCTTGGAAGTTGGTGCCTTTGCTCCCTTGTTCCGCTTATAACACAAGTCAGTGCTGACTGTTTGGCTTGACTTGGGTTCTCAGCTTGTTCGGCCATGTGGAATTGACCCATCAGATTGACTGTCTAAGGAAGCTTCCTGAACTTTAAGGATAGATAGGAACCGCCACGGTTCTCTTCAGGTCAGAGAGCACATTGGGAGTTCGTCCTTGGTGTCAAGTGGCAGTTGGACCTGCTTCAGGGCTTAGTAATGAGGTCTGAGAAGGATCATTTCCCTTACTTACTACATTTAACATTTTGTTCTGGGAATGGTTTACAATGCCCTTTTACCTTGTTAGACTCAGGTCTAATATTGTAATTTGAAATGAGAAAGGGAGTAAAGTTGTAAATGAAGTGTTTCCTCGTGACCTTTTATGTCTCAGATCTTTCGTCTGATCTTCTCTCATGATCCTCAGAACCACTTTACTGGTAGCTGTTGCCCTTTGTATGAAGAAGTCTTAAAAGGGGCAGAGGGACATAGAGACAGTCATACAGAGCACTCAAGGCTACCACAACAGGAGTCTGAACTGGAACTGAATTGGACTTGACAGCAAAAGCAGACTGTTTCTCTCATTTCAGATTGTCTCTTGAAACGTGAATGTGTTGGTTGGTGTTGTCAACACCCTGAGGTGTGAGTTTGAGCATACCTGTGGGGAGATATGTTGAATACATTAATTGGGTATATGAAGACCCTTCTTAATTGCGGGCAGGCCATTCCCTGGGCAAGGTAAATCTTCTGAACACAAACATGCAGTGTGATCAGCTGCTTCAGCTTTCTGATGCCTTGGCCTCCCTGGCATAAAGGACTATAATCCAGAACCGGGAGCCAAAATAACCCTTCCCTCCATCCAGTAGCTTTTATTGGAGTACTTTAGCGAGGCAGTGAGTGTCTGTGAAAGATTGACAGCTGGGAAGATCCAGCAGCCACCCAGATTAACCAGTTAGCTGTGTGTGCTTTTTCTCCCCTGCAGGACAGCGTGATGGTCCTTAGTGCAACCCATCGCTACAAGAAGAAGTATGTCACCACCTTGCTGTATAAGCCCATTTGAAGAGGACATCTCTCCTTGCCTCCAAGGATTCTGGAGTAACATCTCCCTTGCCTTTGAACTGACCCGGTCTCCTCTGAAACTGGAAGGCTGATTTGTGTTGAGGCTGATACGTGTGTTTCAGAGCCTCTAAGTAGAGGGCTCTGCTTTTGCATTTGATTGCAGATGAGAGCTTTATGAGTTCATGGAGTTTATTTTAAGAAAAACAAAACCACATATATGCATATGAGAAGAAGGTTACTGGGAGCCTCCTAGCCCAGCTGTTTAGGTTCTCTCTGCCTGTGGGTAGTTGCCAGGGCCTGAGGGGGAAGCTGCGGCCGCAGGAATGAGTGTACCGGAAGCTTCTTTTCCTAAAGTGAAAGAATAGCAAACTCTTAGGATCCTTGTCAGGCAGAGGTTCTGCCGCTGTACCCTGGTGTCAAAGGGTCAGCTGTGTGCCAGGCTGCAGCCCTTCCTTACAGCTGCCTCATCGCAGGGTGGCTTTCCTTGCATGGATTGATTCTGTATTCCCACAGTATGTGACACAGTCTACTGTGTTTTTATATGACACTAGATGCCCCACAAGAACGCTCCACATTTTATGTTCTCTGTGAAGTAGTTTCCCTCAGATCTCATATATGACCCTCTGGAAAGTTGTATGGGATTAGACTCACCTCAGAGACTGGAGGTGCCAGGGCCTCCTTTTTAGCCCAGCGCGGGCCCAACCTGGTTTGTTACAGCTCACCTTAACGTGTAAAGAAAAGCCGTGGTTCAGTATCAAGAGAGATGCAGATCTTCTGTGTGGTCCTATGTACTGGGTGCATGGCACGTGCTCACAGGGCTTCTCCTGGGCCTGGCCCTGTTTCCTGCTGCTTTTTATCACAGCAGATGGTTTGTGATATAGAATTAGGGAACCTTCCATATCTTTTATCCCTGAAAGAGTTTTATGTGCCTATGTTTTTCTTTAATAATATAAAGAAGCATATCCATCAGTGTTAATGTCTATTAAAGAAGCTCAGGCTTTTGACAAATGGTTCTTAATATTTTCTTCTCCAGTCTAGGGAATTCTACAGTCCTGGGTCAATATGATCAGCCATGTGTACCTCATTACCCAAGCACTACTTTTGACATGAGTTCCTGCAGGCTCATTAGACGCACATACTAGCTGTCCCTACCTTTAAAGATGTGTGAGGTGAGGAACTATCCCTGGTATTTATAACCATGCACAGTGTTGTTCTTTGCACCAAGTTTTAACGGGATGTTTTATTCTTTTGCCTCTTTCAAATGTGTTCGACAATGGAGTGGGTCATTGATTATCATGGACTGAAAAGTACTTGGCCCACTCAGGTTTCAGAGAAAATATTTTCTCCAAGTATCTGGACACTTCCGTTTTGCAGATAAATGCAAGTCAAGCATTAGTTGTTTATGGCTGAGAGACTTCGTGTTTGCTAAGATGAGCCAGCCACTCTGAGGGACCTGCAGGTTAGTTTAGCTACCTCCTGACTTTCCCACCCATTGGCACAGATGTCCTCTTTGGATTCTGAGACCCCTTTGATCACAAGTGTGAAGCCATAAGATGGGATGTTTCACAGTGGATACAGATTGCTAAATGTCTTGGTAGGTAATTGGTGGGGTAAGTACGACTTCCTCCATCCTGAGCCACTTCTCCCTCCTCTCTTGTGGAGAACTTGTACTGTCCAGCCAACTTTCTGGAGAGTGTGCTCCTTTGGAAACTAAGGTCTAATCCTGTCGTAACCAACTCGGAGGCCTTGGGCTCTACTGGAAAGCTTTTTGTTTTGTTTCCCAGTGCCCATCTAGAAGTGGGCCACGGAGGAGGAGCGGTCTTGGTTTTTACACAGTGGCTTCTCTTATATCTGTCCTTGTTAACATACGAGCTGGAATCCTCTGTGTGTTCGTGGATTAAATTTTACTCCACACGGGTGTAGCAGTAGAAGGGTTGGGAAACAGTCTCCAGTTGCGGGCTGAGGCTGTCTTATCAGGTGTGGCGGTGATGACAGGGTTTTGGTGCTGGTGACCTTCACATCCTTCTCATCTGGAAACGATTGCCCCTGCTTCTCAAGTCTGCTGGTCCCCTCCCTGGGGAGCTCTGTCATTGTCACCAGGACACAGTTGTAAAGGGGACAGAGGAGGTCACTGCTTTTCTATTAGTTACCTTAAGGGACAGTTTTCTACAGTCAAAAGGTTAGTAGAATTTGGAAATAAGGCAAAAACATTTTAGTCTTCTTAAATTTCCTTTTTCTCTTCACCTATGGGAATTGTGCAGTCAGGGTTGGTAGAGTAAAGCAGCCCCGAAGAAGGGCCACCTACCTCCTAGCCAGCTGTGATGCCCGTTGGGGGTTGTGAGGAAATGAAAGTAATGAATGAGCTGAGGAGTGGTACCAGGAAGCTGAAGGATCAAGTAACTGGGAAGTGAAAATATCCTCTTTAAAAGAAAAAAAAATTAAAGCTGGGCACAGCCTGGATCCTTGGATTTCATTGTACAGAAACCTTAGCAGCCTGTAAAATGTCTTCTCTCAGCCTCTTGCTGCACCTGTCCTCTGCCTTTCCTCTGCATTCTATTTGATGTCGTTGGTCAGTAAGACAAGTTCACCAGGGTCTCAAATCAAATGCTACCCAAAACACAGGTTTGTGGCTTCACCTGGGTGAAAAACTTTCATACAATAGCTGTAAATCCGCTTCCTGTCAACCTAGACTTGAGTAGGGTTTAGTAGGTAACACTCCCGCAGGGCACATCTAGCTTCAAGAGCACTGGCCTCTCAAGTGTGAAGTACAAAGGAGAAGCCAGGTCCCTGAGAGGAACCCTGACCCACTCCTATTGGCTTTGGTTTCTTGTCGACCTAATGGATCTTCCATAAATTTTTTGAAAGGTGTCAGTATTCCATGCATGCTGCTGAAGGGAAGGGAAGGGAAAGTGGGGAAACGGGGCTTTAAATGTTTGACCTCAAAACAATATGGTGTGTGTGGTAGCCGCTCTTCTCAGAGATACTTTTGTCCCCGCGTTCTTGTGATTTGGGGCTTAAGAAAGCAGATAACTATTTTGTTCCTGTATTACAACTCATGCTCAAAGCCGAGCCCTTGCCATCTTCTGTCGGACTGCAGACTCCAGTTACTCTGAAGAGGAGACCTGGCAGGAGTGAGGGTCTTCCAGAACTCTCTGGTCTAGGCATTTGTCTGTCATTTAGTGACCGTCACAGCTGGAGACTGAAGGACTGATTTCTGCAGTGAACTTAGGAAGTGTTTGGGATAAAAAGCCCAATCTTTTTATTTTTTTTTTTCAATTATGGGGAAGAAGAAAAAGTCTCAAGTCAGCTACTTGTAGGATGTGCTCCCTCTTGGAGTCTAAGCTGGACTTCATCTCCACGTGTGTTTCTCACTAGTGTTTTGAAGTAAACAAGCTTCATTAAAAGTAAAACACTGAGTAGTTCCAACAGAATTGTGTGTGGCACAGTACTTTTTCATTAAGATTGGTGTGAAAACTAAATATTAGGTACTTGTGGGTGTCAGATTATACAGTTGGGGACACATACAGGAAGAGTTGTATCAGGTGTTGGCCATATTTTGTTCCCCTCGGTAGAGCGCCTTTGGCAGCTTATCATTCTAGGCCAGCCCGATACCAGTGTTAATTCGTCCTAAGTTCTGTACTGGGTGGCCCGTCTGAGACTGAATTCGGCGGGTGTTGGTGGTTTCCCCTCTCGCACTTTGTTGTGCAGCGGGAGTGATGGATGCAGAGACGGTTCCATGCGCATGGGTCTCTTCACCGGTGCTGTGTGTGGCCTTTGATGCTGACATGCAAAGCTGCTTCAGTTCTCAACTCGGCAGTGACCTGCCTGAAAACTGTATAATGGGACATAAAAATGTGGGTTTGTTTTGTCCATAAAACTGTCTAATAAAAGCATTATACAGCGATTATATTTGAGTCATTTGCTGATTCTGTTGTCAGAAGCCTGATAAAGCCGCGGTATGAGCAGAACCTGAAGGTGTGAATTGTCATGACTGGAGATGTCATCACTGAAGGACAGGCACGTCTACCACTTGTCCTTTTTCTGTCCCAGGCCATGCCAGTTAATACAGGGATGCAATGCTCAATTATTTGTTTCCAGCATTTTCTACAAATTGACTGCATGTGTAGCTCTTGTCCTGTGCTGGATTAGCTGAGATCTTAGGCCAATGATTGTCATCCCTGACTGTTCATTCTTATCCCCAACAGAGAATCTAAGCATATTGATGACTATCTGCTGCCTCCAGCTCGGCTAAGTGGAAATCGTAGGTATGGGGTCCACACGTGTGAACTTTTAAAATTCCCAGGCAATTCTGATAAACCCAGGGCTGGGGACCACTCTCCTGAGCCCTCTACTGGCCTACTAGATTATATACCTCACTGTGAGAATAGACTATATGCTGTAGTCTAACAGCAGATCTCTCTCATGTGCTTGTTCAGGGCAATGTGTAGAATACAGTGTGTGCTTCTGTCTGGGAGTGAGCAGTGTGGGAAGAATGAGGGGGGGGGACAGCACAGTCAGCTGTGTAAGGAAAACCCACACTGAGGAGAGCCCACTTAACGTCCAGAGATGGCCTACAGACTAGACCACAGGGCCCTGCCTCGGAAAGAATGTCCCAAATGCCATATGTCCTGGTCACAGAAACTACGATGGTGCCAGAATTCTGTGAGAGCCAAACTTGCCTTGCCGTGTGCTTTCTCCAGCATCCCTGGCTTCTGTGGTGTGGGTCTTTTGTATCTCTTCCAGTCTCCTTTCACCTCGGTGGCAGGTCCCAGTGACGGGGTTCAAGAGTTGTCCTCTCGTAGTGTTGTTTTAGACTGGAGAGATGGTTCAGCAGGTAAGGGTGCTTGCTGTCATGGTAAAAGTAAAATGCCACAGGTCCCCGAGTGGCAGCAGTGGGCAGTGGACCACGAGATCACAACGGGCCACAAAGGCGACTGGCCCCAGGCAGGGAGCCACGTGACAGGGAAGAGATAGAAATGTGCCAAACAGAGAAAGGGTATTTATTTAGTGGGTTATAGAAGGGAAGGGGAGAAGGGGGAAGAGCAGAGAAAGGAAACAGTGGGGAGGAGAGGAGCCACTGCAGCAGCAACCTCTTCAGAAGAGAGGAGGAAGGGAAGGAAATCAGGCTGGAAGCAGAAGGGGGAGTGAGCGGGGCTTGTCTCTTAACGGGCCAGGACAGACCATAACACATGTCACCAAGCTTAGTGACTGATTTTGGTCCTCAGAAACTATGAAGTAGAACCAACTCCTGCAAGTTGTCTTCTGATCTAAGCATAGTATTTTGTTGTATTAGAAAGTTACACGTAAATGTAAAACTTTTTTTCTATTTCTGAAAAGAAAAGGTTGGGATTTGATAGGATACATTGAATCTGTATTACATTGGGTAGTGTTGGTGTCTTGGTAATAGGAAATCTTGTTCATAAATGTGGGATGTCTTCCCATTTATTTCTTTCAGCATCATTTTCTTTTTTTAATAAATCTTTTTTAAGATTTATTTATTTATTGTGTATACAACATTCTGCCTCCGTGTATGCCCACATGCCAGAAAAAGGCACTACATCTCATTACAGATGGTTGTGAGCCACCATGTGGTTGCTGGGAATTAAACTCAGGACCTCTGGAAGAGCAGCCAGTGCTCTTAATCTCTTGAGTTGTATCTCCAGCCCTCAGCATCATTTTCTAGGTTCTGGTTTACAGATCTTTTGGCTCATGGGCTCATACTTCATTCATTTCATGCTATTATAAATGGACTTTGATGAATTTTATTATTGAAGTATAAAGCATTGATTTTCTTGTTGATGATTTTTTCTGTCTTGTCATTTTATTGAGTTTATTTGTTCATGTGTGTAATCCTTAAGGTTTTTCGTATTTGGATTACAGCATCTATGAGCAGGTAATTTCACTTTTCCAATTTCCCTTTTAGCTCCATGCATATTCACTTCCTCCCTCTCGCCCTCCCCTGTCCCCCATCCTCTTCTTTAAATATATAGGTAAATTATCTTTATTTATTATCTTATGTGTATGGGTGTTTTGCCTGAATGTCTCCCTATGCACCATGTGTGTGCTTGGTTCCCACGGAGGTCAGAAGAGGGTGTTGGATGCCCTGGAGCTGCTTGTGAGCTGCTGTGTGGGCACTGGAACTGAACCCAGGTTCTCTTGAAGAGCAGCCAGTGCTCTTAACTTCTGAGACACCTCTCCAGCCCTCTCATCTTTTGAGTTTGGGTTTGACTGTGATACTCAGACTGGACTCAGACTGCCAGTTCTCTTGCCTTAGCTTCCCAAGTGCTGGGATTATAGGTATGCAGCACCACGCCTGGATAGCTCCGTGCACTCTTATCCCAATAATCTGAGAAATTCTGGATGGTCTTTAAGGTTTTCATAAAGATTCTTCTTGCCTTATCTATTCTTAGGGACATCTTTCATGGTAACCTTCAATGAAAATAGGACTCTCCTTGAATTCTCGATGTTCCACCGTCTCTTTTGGAAGAGATGCTCTTGTCCCCTATGTGCCTCTCTACTTTGTTATAGCTAGACATCACTTTCTAGATTCTGATGAAGATATGTTTTTGATAACTTATTTCTTACAGATGTGAGGTCCTAAGGAGTCCTAATTGACTCAAATGGATCCTCCAGTATTTAGGATAGTGCCAGAGAAGAACTCAAAATAAAGGCTTGTGTGAGAGCCCTTTGTATAGTACAGGATAACATAATTCCTTTTCTTAGATGCAATGTTCTTTCCTTCATCTTGAAAAGTTGTAAGGGACTTTCTTCCGCACAGCTTCAGGCTTTCCTTCACATTACTCCATGGTTATTTGGTGGATTCTAAGGAAAGGAGAGGCCCATGCTCTTTGCTGCCTCTTGAATGGGTGCTTCCCAGCGATATAAAGGACCCAGTCCTGGGACCATCCTTTGGAGGGATATTCTTGGCTGTGGCAAACTTGTCTTTCCCAGTCTTCCTGTAGCCCAGATTCCTCCTTAAAGAATTAGATGTTCTAGACATTTCTCATTTCCCCCAAAGCTTTCTTATCTAAAGGCCACCCTCTGCCTCATCCTTTGGCCGCCACTACTCCATATTGCTTCAGTCTACAACATGTTACTCTTTAAACCCACACACATGCAATTCTGCATCCTTGAGGGGTGCATCAACCACAGTGTTTGGAGAGCAAATGCCAGGGTCTAAGATGTGGTCTTCACTGTAGTTCCTCACGGCCCTTTAACACACATTTCAGGCCATCATGGTCATACCTCATGCTAGAGGATGAAGGAAATCGGAGCATGGAACACAAAAGGCCAAGGCTCATTGGTTTTAGCATTCAAACAATAGGGTCTACTAGATGGCTGGGTGGGTGAAGGCACTTGGCCCAGGCCTGACTAGATCCATTCCTCAGAACTGTATGGTACAAGAAGAGAACCAATTCCCCAAAATGTTTTCTGACCTCCCCAAGAGTAGGCTGTCTATTTACAACATGACTTAGTGCTTACAAAGGCCCCTATTAGAATATCCAGTAAATGCTTGAATGAAGGTTCATTACTAATAACCAATCTTTACTGGCATTCCTTAGCTATTTATTTCTCACCAAACCCACTGGGGCCAAGTTGAACCAATAAAATCCTGAATTTAGAAAACACTTTCCTGGGCAGTGGTGGAGCATCAGCACTCAGAAGGCGGAGGCAGGCAGGTCTCTGAGTTTGCAGCCAGCTTGGTTTATAGAGCCAGTTCCTGGACAGCCAAGGCTACACAAAGAAGCCCTGTCTCAAAAAAACCGAACCAGAAAAAAAAGAAAAGCTACTTTCCTGAAAGGCATTACTCGATTATCATATCTACCTTTTAACTCAGTGTGCAGCACGAGAATATTCCTTTACAGTCTGTCAGCCTCATACAAAATGTAAGGTATACACGTAGGCATAAATACAGAAGCCTACAGAATAGAGGCTTCAGGGCGGTGTGTGTGTGTGTGTGTGTGTGTGTGTGTGTGTGCGCGCGTGCGTGTGTGTGTTGTGTGTATGTGCATGCACGCATGTGCACATGCGTGCACAAGAAAAGAGACAGTACTCAGTTTACTGTCTGATATATGAATGATTCCATGCTTTAATCCTTGTGGTACTAGCTGCAGATCTAAGGGCCACTCACACTAATATCGCATGCAATAGTTTTTTTTTTTATGTCATAGGTGCGATTTGAGGTTTCTGGTTTTGCTTTGGTTTCATACATGAACACATCTACATCACTCCCACTTCCCATCCAACTCCATCCCTGACCCTCTCCCCAGTTCATGATCTCTTACTTTATTATTGGTTGTTTCATACACACATACACGCGTGCACACACACATACACACACATATAACATAAATATATGCACACATGTATACATAGCATGAACATAACCTATTGAGTCAGTTTATCTTTGTTCCCATGTATATGCTGGAACTGATCACTTGGGATTGGACAACAACCATTGCTTTCAACCTGAGCAGAGGCAGGATCTTCACAGCAGAAAGCACATGGCCTAGCGGAGATGCTCACTCCATGAACAGTCACAAGGTAGAGAAAGAGGTGAAGGGAGAAAGAGGAAGCGACATGGATGGACAAGGCACACCCTTCCAATTTGCTCCTCGCTGCCCTGTTTTCTCCCGTCAAGCTTCATTTCCTAAAAATCCCCTGAAAAAATTAGTCACCCCCCCCAGGATCCCTTGACCCTAGGGGCCACCCCTCAAAAGTACGGGAGCCTTAGGGGATGAGAGAGGTATTTCCCATCCAGACTTCATCCGTCCAAACTTCCCATCCAAACCTTAGCACCGATCGAAACTGACCACTGTATCTCAGTCTAAGGAAAAACCACGTCCTCACCCTCTACTCTAACACAGACTCTGTCCTCTACTAAAGAATTACTAGTGCCCAGGTGTT